CCATCTCCATAGTCCTTCCTCCATTACCAAAAGCCTCTCACTGAAAACCCAATACATTCCACCCCTTGCCACTGCGAATTATGTATTCAAGAATTATTATCAAAATTCACCTAAACAAAATCAAACTTCCCCACATAACATTTACAACAACATCATCAGGGCAGTTTCAGGGCAAAACCACCCCTTGTCCCTTCACCACAACGAAAAGAAAATTTCTTATGATCGTGTAACATTTTAACATTGTCCAATCCATATTTTGCCCGTTACCTCTCCCAATTAAATATCCTTATCTTGAAATTGAGCCATGCCCCACATAGGGCACCAATTTTGTCATGGTTTAGGCCCAGTGCCTAACTGAGCACCACAGTGCCCCAAAAAGGGCTAGTCAAAATAGGGACTGGGAGGGCCATCTCCATAGCCCTTCCCCTGTTACCAAAGACACAACCAAAAACCCCTCACAGAAAACCCAATACACCTCCCATAAGGACATGACAGCACAATGAGATGCTTCCTTTGCCTTCTTTTCCCTAGGCTGAATGAAGCCAGCCTCTCCTTGTATGTCATGTGCTCCAGCTTCCTAATGACCTTAGTCACCTCAAGCAACTTCCACTAATCGTCATGACCTTGTAAAAGGTCATGCTGACCTTGATAGTCAGCAGCCTTGAAATGACATTGACACCCTTGACATACATCCTGTCTGGTTCTGTAGACTTTTATGTGTCCAGCTTACTTAAGTAGCCCCTAATTCTTTCCTCCTCTATCATGGCTAGTACCTCTATATGCCAAAATTTGTTAATTGACATGAAGACCTGAGAGGCATGAGAGGAGACCTTGTCAGCGAGATCAGAGCAAAGAAGGCACTGTGCACCTCAGGGTGTTCTGTGATTTCCCATTAGTTGCTGATGTAATTGTGAAGAATAACAGGAAGGGCTTCTGTCCCTCCCTAGTTAGTTCCAGCCAAGATTTTTCTTTCCTAACATCAGCCCTGCGTGACCAGGCCATGCTTCTAGGCTCATTCCTTGTAATCCACTTTTTGTGTATTTGTCATTTTTGTGACTTGAGGAAGTTGTCCTTGAAGATCAACCAGCTACCTGAATTCTTGTCCTTCAGTACAGCTTGCCATAGGATCATGCTTATCTGAACAAACCAAAGTCTGCTATTCTAAGCATCTTTAGTCTGCTATTTGCATTCCTTACTTCAGTCACAACTGTCTCACAGTCACTGTGGCTGAGGCTGCTCTTGACTGTCATATCCTCAAGCAGTTCTAATTAGGATTACAGCTAATTAAGATGAGGTGACTCATTTCTTAGAGAGGAGTTTATCTTAAGTCATGTGAATGGTTTCTGTGGCAGTGCTGCTGTTTTCAAATTCTGCTTTGTTATTTATTTATTTTTTAAGAATAGAAGTGCTATCTCATTTGCCATTGAATAACACCTAGAACAATCAGAAAAATATAAGTAACTTTAAAGCAGTCAATTGACAAAGGAGGTAATATAAATCTGCATCTACTTTGCACAGTTATAAGCAAGGAATATAAAATGCGTGTTTGTATGCTTAGTTTTATTTGAGAAGTCTTGAGGTCCTTGGCCTCTGGAAAGAATTCCGCTTCATAAAAATTTTCTGCTGAAGTGTGTGCTTCTTTCAGTCTGTCATAATATTTTAATGTTATCTCTCTATAATTATTTTTGGATAAAGCAGGTTTTTTTATTATGAACTTTTTTACAAATATATATATTTCAGTTTGAATGCATATACTGTTTTTAAATTCTGAAAGCTTTCAATTCTGCAAAGGTACTGGTCAGCATTAATCTTCACAGATTTATTTCATTGACTGAACAATGAAGGTAATTGTATGACAAAGTGTTTACTCATATTGCTTTGCAGATCCAGTTGTTGGAAAACCTGCAGGAATCCTGGACAGAATATGAAAATAATGTGCAGACCCTAAAAACTTGGTTTGAAACCCAAGAGAAGAAGCTGAAACAGCAACAGAAAATTGGAGACCAGGCCTCAGTACAGAATGCTTTGAAAGACTGTCAGGTAATGTCCCCTTATAAATAACAATATTCACTTTCCAAAAGTTAGAAACAACACTTGATGAAGCCATGTGAAATCTTTGTATCAGTGAAGTCCATGACAGAACTCCTCTTTACTTCAGAGAGGGAAGCATTTCATTCCTAAAGTGAAAGCAATAAGAAAGGAGGAAGTAACAGTAATGTCCCAAAGATCATTAAAAGGAATCAAAGGAATTATTCTGTTTGCATTGTCTATTAAAGCATGGACATTTCCAAGCATGCCAGGCATACTAAACTAGAAAGGCATCAAAGGAATATGTTCCCATTCCTGTTTAGCCAGTCTTATGGAACTTGATGTCATGAACACCATGCTTCACTATTCAGAAATATTTTTTTTCCTCCACCCACTCCTCTTTTTTTCTATTCTTTTTCCTACCAGGTATATTCCACCTGACTGTTCAAAGAAAAATGCTAGAATCCAAGGAGGTTTTACGCTTTTATTCAAAATGTGTTAGAAGTAAATTTATTTCAAATATTCGACTATCCAGAGAAGGAATTAGTGCTGAATTCACTTTTGTTTTCAGAAGACTGAAGGAGAATCATGATTACAATGGGCAAAGTCAGGATAAGTCAAAGCTCAGCTATATATAATGTACAGAAGTTCAGAAAAGCCTCAGTTTTTCATGTGAAATTCATACAGGGACTACAGAGCAGTGAATAAGGCGTCAGAGTTGGCATCTTAGAATAGCACATGTTTAAGCTTGCTTCTGGAGCTATCAGGCTAGTGTTCAAGCTTATAGGTATATAAGCAAAATAGATTTTTCTGGATATATAAACAAGGCCTCTGCATGGTATCAAGCATCAGATAATTTTTACTTAAAAGTGTTTTTTTCTACTTGACACCAAATAATGAATTTCATACCAGATCTAATATGTAATTAAACTCTATCAGGACAACTGCATGCCCAAAATCTTAGTGTTCTCATCCCTTTAAAAAGAAGTAAGGAAGCATGTTCATCTTGGTGTGGCTGTCTTTCCTGCATGCATTTAATGAATGAGATTAATACGATCTAGCTTTTAAGTCTTTACAAACAGAACAGCTGAAAATCTATTCAAATGAAATGCATAAGAGAATTTAATCTACATTCACCAGTGTGTTAAACCCATCTTTGTTCCTGTAAAAGGAAATAGTTGTTTAGGCCAGATATGTTAGAAATAGTTTTTTTCTTAAGTTCTTGACATAAGTTTTCAAACTAGCTGCAGTGCTTAGTTTCAGTTCAGACGTCTTTATGCTTTCAGCATGATAAGGCTGAAACAACGGTAGTTTAGCATAGCCTGACATAATCAGCAGGCTATGCTTGTCTGGAGTTCAAAGCTGAATCTGATTTATCATCTTTATAGTTCCTTTTGGTCAGGGTAGTTAGCAAATACACTTGGAGAGTCAGTTATAGATGGCAAGGCTTTGATCAGCAGAGAAATAAATTGTTTAAGAAATAACTGTATCGGCCACTCCCACGTATCCAGTTCAAGTAGTACAAAAGCTGCAGTTTATTTATTAACTGAGGCTAGTTGCTGCCTAGTGTCATATTAACAAGTGAAAGCGACCATTTTTTCACATCACAGATCAGAAACAGTGATGTGCCTTTAATTCATTTAACATAAACATTTGCTATTCTTGGTGTTTGAAACTTTTGCCCATTTTACATTCTGAATTTTGGAGTAACTTTGTACAAACTTAAATGCCTTTTTTAGCATTAAAATCCACTTCTTGGAAAGTCAAATTTACTATGCACAACTTAGAAGTGTTTGCTTTTTTACCAGTGTCACCTGGTAAAAAAATAAGTACTACTCCATAGTTTGGAACAAGGTCATGGCTTGAAGTTTGAAGAAATGTGAAATAATACAAAAGAAAATGCTAACAATAAACAGTACAGCAAAAATGCTCTTGCATTTATAGACAAAAGTGCATTGTATGCAAGCAGGGATAAATTCTATTAACAGCTAATGTTTGCAAGACTGGGCAGAATTTGGTTCCAAGTACTCTCAGCACTATCTAAAATCCAGTCTGTTTATGGCAGTGCTTCACTTGTTGTTGCAGTTTTGACTCTTAGGGTGAGTAATATATTGAAAGACATGGGTTTTCAGTTTGCCCAGAGTTTTGTTGCATTGTTTTTCTTCCCTGATGATCCATCTCTCTCAGTAAGGAAGGGCTTGCAGAAAATTAAAAAATAACCTGAGATCACAGGATGCGGTACTTAATGTTGAGGCATCCCAAGATTGCACTCACCTCACAGTCTCCTTTCCATATCATGCAGACTACTTAATCTCCAGACAGGTAAACATATATTTGTGCTAGTGCGAGGCCTACAAGCTGTACCTCCCCCTCTTTGCTCAGACTCAGCATTTCCACTACCTGAAGCTACACAGCTTCCGTATGAGTCAGAGCACTGCAGGACATTCTTGGATCTCCCTTCACCATGCCATGAAATTACATAGTTAGTTTTCTGGCTAGGAATTAGCTTATAGGAGCATGCTATATGACTCACAGCTGCTTACTGAGTCTTCTTTTTCCTTCATTTTGTAACTTCATTCTCATGCTATTCAAGCATGAGGAAAATCACAGGCTTTGTGACTAGTGACTTTGTAACTGTAACTGGTATGTTACATACCAGAGCTTCTGCACTTCACTTATTGATAAAACGTGGCAAAACTGGCAAACTTTAAATCAGCATTTCCATGACCAATCTAGGGTCATCTTAAATCAACAACACGATCAGAACCTGCCTGAAGCAGAAAAACAAGCCACTAACAAGCTGTCCTGGCCTCAGTGGTTATATACTCAGCCCTGTTTTCTTCACTAGTTTTCACACCAACTGTTCGTTTTCTTCCAATTTTCTTTGGTTAGTGTGTGGGAACACAGAGCAACATACTATCGAGCTCATTTATGCTTCCCAACAGCATGCAACCTTGAGGAGGCAATAACGAAAATTCCTGCAATCTGTTGCTTCTTGTCATTGACTGGACTCCAGTGAACTTGTCATCTAGGGGAAGGCTCACTGTCCTTGGGCAAGGGGCTTTGCTGGGACCTGGCAAAGGAATAAAGACCCCCATTTCTTGTGGGGAGGCATGGCAAATGGACATCTTTCCCTGTGAAGTAATTTTGTCCTTTTCCTTGGGTGGCAACATTTCTTTTTTTGTTTCCAGAGGCTTGAGCCAGCTTTGGCTAATTAAAAAGCCCTCTCAGTATTCCAGGACAAACTAAGACAAAATTTTCCCATGTATTCAAACTGCTGTCCTAATTTTAATGAGTTTTGGACTCTTACATGAAAGCAGAAGATTACACAGAAGTTTAATGTAGAGGACATGCTTCTGTTTAAATTAAAGACACTTTAAAGGGAACATAAAATACTAAATAAAGTTACTGTGGAGTTATGATTCTCTGGCTAATAAAAAGCCAAAGTATACAAGCATGAGTTTCCCGTTTTTTAAACTAAGGAGCTTGTGGATGTCTTTATTGTCACAAGGCATTATCTATCCAATTAATCAGATTAAAAACACTCAGGTATCTTCTTTTTCTTTTCAGGAATTAGAAGAATCGATGAGAACAAAGGAAAAAGAAGTAGAAAATGTAGAACAGAGTGGTCTGTCTTTGATACAGAACAAGAAGGAAGAAGTCTCTTCTGCTGTTATGAATACACTGCAAGAAATTAACCATTCCTGGGCCAATTTGGGTCACATGGTAAAAGAATCATCAAGGGACAAATTATAGCTCCAGGAACAGGGCATGGAGGAGAGGGAGAATTAGCAGTTTGCAACTAGTGGATTTCTTCTGTATTGTAGGGGAAGAGATTCTGAATTGTGTCCCTATTTCCATCCATCCTCAAGTTTGTGTGTACATTCTACATAAAATGGATATAATATTTCCTATTTCAATGATGCTTTTATTTCTTGTAATTGAAGCTTTTTAGGTGCTTCTTGATATTTAATGAAAGGTATCAAATGATCTGGAAGGAACTAGCTTTTCAGGCGCACAGGTCTCACAGAGTAAGGAAGAGATCAGCATTAATTGTCATCGTCCAAAGCTTGGTGACACCAGTCTGCCCTCTCAGGAGGAATGTAGTGTGTTAGTGCTAGCCTTTCTGCTGACTTTTGCAGACTGACTTGCCTGCCTTAGGGACACATGCTTCATAGTCTTAAGCACTTTCTCTTGAACCTGCTTAGGACCAAAGTAGAATGGACTTAATACCTTCTCAGTCCCTGCCATCCTAGCTTTATAAAATCAAGCAGAACTTTATTCTGTACCCAGTGTAAGCCTCGCTGATTGTTGTGCAACAGCTTCATTCTCCAGCAGGTTTAAGTTTAAGGATGAAAACAGGTGGTATCTGAGATCAAAAGAAAGGAAATTATTTAAACAAAAATCAAGTATTGTGAATGCCCTTCATTTACTTTGGTTTTTTTCCTCTTAGGTTAGCCAGTTGAAGATACTGTTGCAATCTGTTCTGGATCAGTGGAGCATTTACAAAGTGGTTTATGAAGAACTGAATAGTTACCTGACAGAAGCCAGATATTCTTTGTCTCGTTTTTATCTTCTTACTGGTTCTTTGGAAGCTGTGAAAGTCCAAGTTGATAACCTTCAGGTGAAAAGAATAATATGCCTCTTGACTTACTAAGGATGGACTTAAGGGTTAATTTTGTCCTCATTGCATGAATGCAGATAACTATACATTTTGATTCATAAGAAATGGAAGTGCAAACATACTGGCACATTAAAATCATATGACATTAAGAGAACATGTTATCGAATAGCCATTGCATTTTTCATTTTGCAGAAAAATAAAATGGAGATAGTTGGGGTTTTTTTAGGTTTTTGATGCTATTTAAATTTTGAGCTGTACTGTCAAACTGTTTTAAAATCATGCTGGTGACAATTAAAACTAATGTTTCTCACTCTGCTCTGTGAGGCTTCTGGGCTACTGGCAAATATTGAGATCACATTTTAAACCTCCCTCCCATCAAAGAAAATAATGTTCCAAAAGCTGAGATACTCACATGTTCAAGTGGTTTTTCATTGTAAGAAAAGCATACAATACAATGAGACTTCTGTTACAAAAGAATGAATTAATATTAATTTAAATAAATTAATTTAAATAATTGCATCAATAATTATTGAAATTATCGTTCTCTTACATAGACTAACCTTTTAAGTTGTTGTCTTTCAAATAAAAAACTAGTTATGCGAAGATTTCCAGATGCTTAAAGTAACAAGAACTTGTGTTGTTAGTATTTGCCAGCAGATTTAAGTTTACATTATCATTTAAATATTTTGTATGATTTGAAGTCCAGACAGATATAAAGCTAAATGCTGTAAGCATGAACAGCACCTTTCAAATCAAGATTTAAAGAGCATCCATTCGTGCACTTGGTTAGATTTTTAAAATTGTTATTCTATCTTTTTTTAGAGCCTCCAAGATGAATTGGAAAAGCAAGAAAACAGCTTACAGAAATTTGGTTCTGTGACCAATCACTTGTTGAAAGAATGCAGCTCACCAGTGACTGAAACGCTTACCAACACTTTGAAAGAAGTGAATATGAGGTAGAAAATGTCTCTCTGTTGAACTTTACTTTCAGTGGTAAATTTGCATTTATGCATTGACCCAATTTTCCATAATTTCTATTTTTGTTTTATATTATGATTTTATGTTTTGGGGGGCTTGGGGAGCTTTTTGGGTAGACAGGGTTATTCCTTTTGTCAAGGGCTGGTGCAGAACTGTCTCATTTACTACTACTAATAAATGAAACGTTATTTTCTCCAGCAACGGATTTGGACATTAGTGTCGGTAGTTTTGCTCCATGCACGGCTGCCAACCAAGATTCATAAATACCATGCTGGAAAATGATACTGTATTTAGAATGTGAGAATCCTGTCTGAAAATTTTGTTTACTATGCATGCACCTAGTTCCCAAGATTTTAAGTTGCTATTTCTAGTTGTAGGAAGGGCATGGTAGGCAACAATGCTTGATATTGCCTTCACCAATAGCTTGGCAAACAGCTCCTTCAGCTTCGATCCAGGCCAGAACCAGTGTAAGAGTCTACTCAGAGAAGCTACAGAAAGGCAGGATCCAAAAGCAAAAACTAGCTTGGTGGAAAGTTGTGGGATATTTTTAAAAATACAGTCATGCCAAATTTATTTTGACCTGTAGTCCATCCTGTGCTAGAATCTGGAAGTGGAGAGAGGGATTATTTACTGCATTTCTAAAAAGATACTTTAGGATTTAACAGGTTTGATGATGTCTCATGGAGTTTTCACTTCACTATTTTAATCATGTAATAGTAATTGAAAAATATTGTGATTTCCTTCAGTATGGAAATAATGAGGCAATTTGACAAATAGCACATTGGAGAAAATATATGTTTCTGATTGCCATTAGAGCCAAAAATTCAGAGGAGGATTAGATATTTAATTGGATAATAAAAATATTAATAATTTTAATAGGTCTGTGAGTTATAGAGAGCTTTATGGCTTTAAATATCCTGTCAGGGCTTGGAAGGAGATTGCAGCAGAAGAAATGGTTTCTTTCCTACACCTAGTTTGGGCCTCTTATGCTCTTGCACGAATCTGGTACTGACAGTTCATGGCTGGTCATGGATGCTCTGTGCAGTGAACTAAGTGGAACTAAGTGTGCTAAGTGGAAATAGCAGGAGGTTCACTTCGAAAAGTACGCTTCAGCTCTGACCTGAAGCGTTAATATACAGCATCCAAGACACAGCACAGATAAGACTGATGTGACAAGTCAACATATTTCTTTGATTTCTCCCCCACCCCTCCCCCAAACGTCTAGATCTTGATTATTACCAAAATTCTTAAAAGCCAAAAGACCATGGGAAAAAGGCAGAGAGGAAGAGGGGCAGGGGTAGTTCTTGTGGATTCCCAGGCTTCAGTCATTGATCCAATCTCTTCTTCAGGTGGAACAACCTTCTGCAGGAGATTGCAGAGCGACTGCATGCCAGTAACGGCCTCCTTCAGCTGTGGCAGAAGTACGAGGACTGTTACCAGAAGTGCTCTTCCACAGTCCGTCAGTGGGAAGACCAGACCAATGAACTCCTGAAGAATGCCACGGGCAAAGACATTACTGATGATGAGGTTACTTCTTGGATTCAGGGCTGCAATGTATGTTCAGTTAACCTTTGCAGTTTTTTACAGCTCTGTGGGCTAAAAATCACAAGAGGCTCCTCATTACTAAACGCTATACTTGGTGTATTGGAAACTTGCATACAAGCACATTTCTTTTTACTGATGCATCTCAGGCACAGGAGAGACAGCTTTACATCTGCCACACAAATCTCATGAGTTTCTCATATGTTTCATACATTCTCTCCATTACTTCTTGTGGTGGTGTTTCAGGAGCTTGTATCTGAAATCATCTCTCTATAGAAAGTGGATAAATTATATAATTTGATTCAGTCTTAAGTCCTTGCTTATCGAAGGAGTTCTTGATTGAGAAAGTATCTCTACCAAATCTATTGAGTACCTTATAATAGAAAGAAGCACAAGATCCTTTGACTGTGTTCCCACCAATCAGGGCTGTTCACTTTTTTCTGAATGAAAAGAGACTGTGTACGCTCTGGGGATGTCTTTATTCTTTACAGAAGGACACCATTCACTCTGAAACCTTGAGATTCTTCCTTTTTCAGACTGTATCTCAAGGCAGCAGGGTAGTTTATTTCCTATCTGTGGCTTCATTTTGGTTCTTTTAAGTTTATGTGTCATTAAAAAAACCCACAGTTGTCTTAGTGTAAGCAAGACAATTGCAAGAAATAAAATGAGCACATTGATGAGCTTTTTAATTTGCTGCCATAGTCATCTGGACTGGCAATTCAGATTGTTCAGTCTGAAGAATTTCTTCATTTCCTGATGTCCTATTCTTTAGCCATTATTTAGGCCACTTACACAAGTTATTTTTTCATCCCTCCTGGTAATTCACAGCAGGAAAAAAAGGGAGGATTGAGATGAAAATCGACCCGCAGTGAGAGCTGCCACTGCTTAGGACCAGCATGTCAGTAGATTCAAAAGGTTTATTTCAGCAAATATTGCCTCATCAGTAACTCAACTTTGCTCAAAGGTCACTTCTTTCTGTCCCACTGTGCACAGGTACTTTGATGTATTTTTTTATTCTGCACATCCTTTTCATACAATGTGTGAGTAGACACTTTGGCATTGACATACAATAGTAAATACAAGTTTTTCATATAGTGGTGGAGTTTGTTCATTTCATTCCTTCTTTAAATCAGGGAAGAATGACATCAGCAGAATGTCAAGGTAACTAAACATATCTTTATTCAATGTTTTTCCACAGGATGTACTCATGGATTTACATCAGCAGAATGTCAGGTTAACTATTCATAATCTTTATTCAATGTGTTGTCACAGGATGTACTCATGAATTTGAAGACAGCACAGGAGTCACTAGTTACTCTTCAAGAACTGGGAGAGGAGCTAAAAAACCAGGTGAAGGCTTCAGCAGCAGCAGCTATACAGGCTGATAATCTTTCTCTGATCCAGCATCTGTCAACCGTAGAACAGTCTCTCCGCAAGCAACAGGCTGTGCTTCAGGTATGTGGAGAGTGCTTTCAGTCCTTGAATCTGATCATCCTGTGGTACCTGAAAACACATAAATTGGCTAAAACTGCCATAGAGAAGAGGTTGGTGTTACTTGTTCATCAGTATTTCCTCTAGGAAGGCCAAAGCCCAGCATAGAGACCTTGTGAGAAGGTCCCAAATTCTGGCAAGAGGATAGCAAACCTCATGGAGGAGAGTGTCCATCTGGAATGCTAAGGGCACCATGCTTCCTGTGGACAGCAATAGTGCTAACAGCTGTCTTCCCAGCTACTGCTGTCTTCCCAGCTAGTTTCTTAGCAGTAAAACAAATGAGATAGTCTGAATAATTGTGTAGAATTGATTTTTACAGTTTCTATTAGTGTCAGTGAACAGACTGACACCTACCATTTGTGTCAAAGCCTGTTCAAGTGTTGCTTATTGCTTGTGTCACCAGGGACTAAAGACCAAAAAAAAAGAGTGGCAGAATGTGTTCCATAAGAAATTATATGGAAGTATGAGAAGGGAACAAAAGTAGTGGCTTCTGTTTGGGTGACAAAAGGAGATATTCAAGAAATCCAGCATCGTCTAGAATGTGCTCATAACATCACTGTGGTGTGAGGAGACAAAATATAAAATAAGTTTTTCATTTCAAATTCCAATAATAGCAACTAGTGGTTCTCTCTGCTGACAAATTCAACAAAGGAGTTAGTTTCATAAGAGGAAATTAGAGAAGATTATCTATTTCAAGGCAAGGAAATATTTATGTCCTTTGTTGAAGTGGTGTCATTTTGCTATGATTAAAATTCCTCTGTTCTAACCTAAAAAAAAACCCCAATAATTCCACAGTCTGTGAGCAAAGCAGCAGTTAGAATTGCTCCTAGCAATTTGCAAACCTAGAATGAGAATAACCAGGAATGTAATGTCAATATGGATGCTGTGTGGCCAGAGATCTTAAACTGGGTCCTTTTCTATTTGAGGCTGGAGTCCTGGACTATCAAACCTTTGCCGAAAACCTGCAAGACCTTGAGGCCTGGATAACAGAAGCAGAAGAAATATTGAAAGAACAGGATCCCAGTCATTCATCTGATCTCTCAGCAATACAGAGTAGAATGGAGGAACTCAAGGTGATTAACAAATGCACAATATATTGATGGTTTTTTTTCCTGTTAGCCTGGTTATTTACAGCACAGGGTATGCACAAGTATAATTCTATACATATTAAAGGACTAACACTCATACAAGGTGTAAGACTGAGAACTTAGAAGTTTCGTGGCAGTCAAGGAGTGTCTGTGTTACTTTGCCCCACAACAAAGGACAGGGAAACTGTTTAGAAAAAAATACATAATCAAAATGGGAATAGAAATTTTAGCAGTTTTTTGAGATTTTCTTAATCTTTTTTTCTCTTTGACTTTTTTTGAATTTATGCAATTCGTCTTTCAGTGATGCTTAGTTTAGTGATGAAGTCTTCTGTTCATTTGGGATATTTTGGTATACTAAAGTAACATTCCTACTGTGTACCATATGATCTCCATTTGAGCTCTTTCACTCTTTTTTTGTGGGGCTTTTTTCCCCCCCTCTTCTTTCTTCAGAGACCCTGGCAGGAAGCTGATGAACTTTGCCATCTAGGCTGTTTTTGTCATTTTAATCTTCCATTATTTTTCTATCAAGGTTCCACTTCAGACATGCTAAAAACCAGGACATTTTCCTAATGTAGTGAATTGGATATCTCTGTACTGCAAAACAAAAAACTAAAATTAAAAAGTTGAGTAAGTTCAATGGAAATTTGCCAGCCTAACATTCAGGCTAAGACACAAGGGAAAAGGCTCACCTTTTTGACAGTATAAATATATGGCTTCAAACACAAGCCTATTTATGCAGCTCTGAGCGATAAATCCTCAATTCAGCAAAACACTTCACTGCAATTTGGGTTTACATCTCTGTGCATGTTAAAACATAAGTATTCTCCTGGTCTGGGACCAAAGGCTGAAAACTGGAAATGCAATTTTTCCCTGGCATAGGAATTGCTTGCCACTTGGTGGCAACCAAGGCCGTTCCAAATTTAACCGAGTGCTAGTTCATACTTTTGCAATCTATAATAGTGTAATTACTGAACTTCCTAGTTATCACTTTTATTGTTTGTTGCAGGGTCAAATGTTGAAGTTCAGCAGCATGGCCCTGGATTTGGACCATCTTAATGAGCTGGGTTACAGGCTCCCTCTGAATGATAAAGAAGTCAAAAGGATGCAGAACCTGAACAGACATTGGTCTCAAATCTCATCTCAGACTATGGAGAGATTCAGGTGAGAATAGATGAGATTGTTGTATAGTTTTCTTAGATTACAACAGCTAGAAAGTATACCTTTTGCAGAATACAGAAAAAGTTTCAGATATTTCATTAACCAAAGCTCCTTTTCTTTGGTGTACTTTTTAAGTAAAGAGTGAAGCCAGTGAGCTGACATGTTGGTTTTGCCACAAATTAACAGAATTAGAAATGAGAAAGACTGCTACTTTTTGAAGTGTTGACCAAATAAATTGAATGAAGGAGCTGAGTAAGAAAAGTGTTGCCATCTGATCTGTAATTCTGCTGGAAAAGTTACTGCAAGACTCTTTTAACAATGTGTGTGAGAGGAGGAGACCTTATCTGAATCCATCTTTCTTTCTTTCAGTAAGCTGCAGTCTTTCTTGCTGCAGCAGCAGACCTTCTTGGAGAAATGTGAGACTTGGATGGATTTTTTAGGTCAGACTGAGCAGAAGATGACAGAAGAGATTTCAGGAAACTACCAGAGCCTTTTAGAGCAACAGAGGGCACATGAGGCAAGTCACCATGTGTATTTATATATAACTACAATATATACTATTTATACATAAATGGAATGCACATTCTTTTGTGGAGTATTATAATACTATGCCTTGAATTGAATTACATTTGCCTGCACCATCTGAGGATATCTTAACTTAAAAACAGAAACGTGCAAATATGTCAGTGATACCCAGTTTAGGGGTGTCTGCATTTGTGTGTAATGTATCAGTATGCCTATGAGTGTTTGTCCTCTACATTTAGTGTACTTCAGGTTGGTTTGTACCAAGGAAGTAAAAGGTTTTATTTTTCTTCCTGTAGAAACTAATTATTCCCATGCAGTTTGACCCTTCATCTTCAGTCCTAACTGGAGAAGATACCTGTTCTTGTAGTGTATTCTGATTTTGTTAATATTTGTTATTAAATTGCTAATATATACAGCATCTGAAGAGCATGGTAAAGGAAGACTTTTCTGTCAAATACTGAGTTATGTAACTCATAATGGGGCTTCCATTTGGTAACATTTTCTTGAAGAACAACGTGATTTGATCTTTGCAGTGTGCTGGAGTAATCTGTCCATTTGTAACAAATCAAGAACTAGCGCAGCTATTGCTTGAGGAAAAAACTCACTCAGAATTTTTGCTGGCGGATGCCTTTATGATTCTTCAGTCAAGGCCAATGATGCACTCTTTTTTTTTCCACCCATGTTGTTACTGCCAAGAATCCTGGTAAATATCAAGTAAGACAACTCAGTTTTCATAAAAGCTCCCATGTGGCCACAGTAGTTTCATTTCCCACAACTTTTTCAGCTGACCTACCCATAGATGCAGGCCAGATCACAGGGACAGTCATTTCCTTCCCCCTCTCTTGCCTTATATCTCACAACATAGTGTTTGGATTAATGCCTGATAACAAAAAGTAATTCACAACCATTTTTGCTTGCTTTAATATACGTTTGCTTTAGCATTTAACTGCCTTTGCTTTCACAAATATCATCCATTTCATTTCCTATTGGTGCTGCTACCATTAACTGGAAAATGTCTTTGTTAAGTTGGGACATCTCAGGTCTTTGCGCTTTGAATGTCCAGAAATCATTACTGTCTAAGTGAATAATTTCCTGCTGCTGTTATGTCCAGTCACAGCTACGAATTTGTGAAAGCAGTTAATGGCGATCTTCTTGCGTTCACTTTTCTTGAGTTCCCATGATAATTCATTCCTGAAACCTTGATCTGAGCAGTTAGCTCTCTAATGAAGCTTTTTTTTTTAATTGCAACTATAAAGTCATCTCTCAGAATTTGGAAAACTAGTATCTCATTTTCTAAATACTGCACTTCATCCTAAGAAAATGTTGTAAACTGTGGTGTTTCGGGTTTTTTACCCAGAAGTTTTTTTGACCTTTTACATAATTTAAATATATTCAGTACTCAATGTTCTTTGCAGTGCCTCCTGATACTCATGAAGTACCTTTCCACTCCTTGCAGCTGAAAGGGTCAAATCTAAATTTACTGAGATGAATTTCCTGATTGTTTTGCTTTCTTTTTTTGAAGATAATGAGAAAATATTTTGTTTCCACCTGCATTTCCAGAATAAATATTGAAATGTCTCCAGCTCCATTATCAGCTTGCCAGTGCTGACTCATAACTTTGCTGGTGTTTATTGAAACAGGACCCCAGCTACATCAGTAGACTTATTTAGAAATAACTTTCCACTGAAATGTACAAACCAGCAATGTGGAGGTGAGGCCTTTTTTAAATAGCATGCACTAACACTGGCATCTGCATCAGATAAGTTTGTCAGAACAACGTTGTAGTCTTTCTTCCACAGTTCTCCAGATACCCATTTACAAGCCTGGTATGTTGCCTGGGAATCCTGCACAGGTGGAATGCCCTAAGACAAGCATTTGAGAAAGCACTGGCAGGGAAAAGAGAAGTTCCTTGACAACTCAGTGACTGCTTTTTTCCAAGAGTGCTGGTATTGTGCATTCCAACGCCTGCCCTTCTTTCCTCCTCTTTTGAATTCCTATTTCTGTGATTCATTGTCAATCTACATTCAAGATGAAATTGGGGTGGCAAGTGATCCCACATAACAGAGTATCTCTTTTATGTACAGAGATAGTGTACATGCAGAAAGCAAGTGACAGAAATGTCTCTGCTTTGGGACAGGGCTTGAATACCTCCACTCTAAGCAGAGTTCCTCATGCTTGACAAGCTTTTATTTCACCTGTCCTCTTAAAAAAAAAATATTAAAATTGTCTCTTTAGGAAGGGTTGGATTTATTGGATTTTTTAACCAATTTTGTTCTGTTTACTTTCATTCTGTCAACAATGCTGGCAGATGGTGTTGCCTCCTGTGCTTCATCTGTGCTCCCTAACTTGACAGAAATAGATGTGCCAGGAAGTAAAATTTCTGCCTTCTTGCTCAGCTTTCTGAAGTTCTCAATCCCACAGTACTGTGGTTTTGTTCGTGAGATAATAGAGCAATCAGTTTCTGTCTGGTTTAGGCTCAGTCATTCATAAAGTATTCAAGGTATAAGCCAAGGTATTCAAAGAACCCTATCAAATACTTCTGCAGGGAAATTAGACAACACTATTTCTTTCTATGGGAAAATATATGACCTGGTTAACATTTTCGAAATAAATTGAGTGATTCAAAGAGGCAAAATCTAATTTACATCAATTACTCCATCCTCTAGAAGTCTTAAACTACACACAGCATGCTTGATGGATTTAATTGTGCAGGTGCCAGTGGGTATTTTGCTGGCAGCTGCAGATGCAGGGATTGGTACATCACAGTTTGAGCTGGTGGGAAGCCATGTAAGAGGGGTGTAATCTGGATGTGAGGAATAATGGCTCTCATTTTAGCAAGGGTGAACTTCTGTCAACTGCACATACCATCACTAACAAAAGAAAAGAAGACTCTCAAGCTTCTTACTAGTATATTTTTTCTTTTAATCTCTCTGAAATCTCTCTTTTGAACACGGAGTGGGTCCAGTCCTGAGCTGATGCCTGGGTGTACTTTCAGCAACATAAGAATATTCCTGAACAACCTTATCTAGAGACATGGTCCATTGCTAAAAGAAAAGATGTTTTTAAAAATAAATTTAAGTAGTATGTTTTAAAGTCATCTTTATTTAAGTAGTACGTAGGTAATTTTTTGTCTTAAGTAATATTTAAGCTATAAGGGAATTTTAAAAGTATTGTTAAAGGTTATTGTGACTGATGGGGAAAATTGAAAAATAAATTGGTAAAATTTGAAGTGGAAAATTGATTTCTAGCTACTACACATGGCTGACCATCTTTTAAAGTTCTATTGGCAGTAAAAATTTGTATTAAGAGCTTATATAACATTATCACACACAATCTGTGCATAAATTCAATTTAACAAGGCAAAGGACCATAATATTCTTAAACATGTCAGAAAATAAAAAGTGCCATTTCTGTCCATGCAATAGCTAACCTATATGGATCTTCTTGTAAATCACAGTGCCAATCACACAGTTGTACTCAGACACATAAAGCCTAGCTCCTGTTGATACTATTTAGCTTTAAAACAGTTCTTTTAAATCTCAAGGAACTAATAATAATTACTAGAAGCAGTAAGTAACTCCAGCGGTGAGATTTTTAAATGTGTTTCTATTCAAGTCCATGACAAAACTCCCATGAATTAATTTAATTCATTTTTACGAGTGCAAACAGAAAAAAATAAAATGTAAGATCTTGTTTTAACATCCTTGTCTCCTGTACAACAGCTATTCCAGGCAGAGATGTTCAGCAGCCAGCAGATTCTGCATTCAATTATCTCTGATGGGCATCACCTCGTAGAACAAGGACAGGTGGATGACAGGTAGTCCTGTGTTGTTGCTGCTGCTGGTTATGTGAAGTAATACTTAAACTAGTGGGGGGCTTGCAAACAGAGAACATAGCAGATGTCAGTGTTAAGATCATGCTCCTCTGAGGTAGAAGTTACTATCACTGTGGTTAAGCTATTAATTAGGCAGTTCTTAAATAAGACACTATTCTTTAGTATGCTATAGGGTATGTGAATGCATTTGGAAATACAACAGCCTTGAGGCTGCTGCTCCAACAAAGATTTATCTTGGATTATCAAGCATATTACATGTAGGTCTATTTTGATGTAATTCCAAAATGTCACTTTCACCAGAGGAGCCTCCAGTGACCCATATAGTGAGTTACACTTAATTTATGACAGCTGGGAATTTGCCTCCATCAAGAGGATTCCTTACTGCCATTTAAGAACACCTGCAGCCTAAATATTGTTGAATTGAAATTTGTTTCTGTCTGAGATTTGATTTTAAACAATTGTGATCAAATGAATGAAAATCAGTGAAACCTGAGTGGCTTCACACTTGTGTATATGCATTGACTTTGTGAAAGGTATCATGGTCCTAATATAAGATAGGCTGTTTATTGGGATAATAAGTGAGAATTTTGTTAATGCTGTTTATTTCTTGCTTCTGTTTTGAGTTCAGTAGTAAATCCGGGGGTGAATTGTGAAATCTCCACAGTTTACTATGAATTTGGCTAATCCAAAGTGGCAAAACCTATGCGTTTTCTTTGTATATTTCTGGAGAGAATGTAGAAGAGTTTTGTGTGTTAAAGGTTTGGGTTTTTTAATGTCTCATTAATTGAAGACCTTTGATTCTCCCAGTAGACAAAGTGTGAAGCTCTCATCCTCAGCTATAATGAGACTCCAGTGCTTTTCTCCTAGTGTTTCATAATTAGTAGCCAGAAAACATTTTGCCTCTCCCTTCAGTTTATTTCATTAAACAAATAGATCAACGTATGAAGGTTACTATGCATTTTTATTTATTTATCTATTTACAATAGGGATGAATTTAATCTGGCGCTAACTCTTTTAAGTCGTCAATGGCAAGGAGTAACTCGCCGGGCACAGCAGAGGAGGGGGATCATTGACAGCCAGATTCACCAGTGGCAGCGCTATAGGGAGATGGCAGAGAAGCTGCGCAAGTGGCTGGCGGAAGAAGCCTGTCAGCCAGAAAGTGGCCTGGGCAACGTTCCTATCCCATTGCAGCAAGCCAGAGCACTGCTGCATGAAGTGCAGGTATGTCCAGTGTGTTAGCAGAAAGAGGAAAAATCCTCACCTTTTTTATTTTTACAGCTGTCATCTTTTAAAACATTCTTAAAAATGTATTAGATTCAGACTCTCTCCTTTGAAGAAAGCAGTATTGGATGTTAGTTCCTCTTTGGAACTGACATAGCCTCAGAAGCAGAAGTGTGATGGATACAAAGTTGTAGTTCATAAAGTACATGCAATGGCGAACTTACTGGGCCCTTTCTCTAGAGCCTTGTTTGCTTTTGGTTTTGCTTTGTAGCTAACATCACAACTAAACTCTTGAAAAAAAACCAACCAGTAATGTCCTGTTTGAGGAATGTATTCTAGCAAATAAAAAATGGTATTTTGAGTGTCCATCCTCATGTGAGGTTAACGGTATCTATTTAGCAGGTTGATGTCTTCAAGCTTTTTGTCTGGCATTTACATATAATAATAAAGCTTATAAACATAATAGGCTCTAGGGGAACTATTTCTTTTCAAGAGCAATTGAGATATTAATGGGGAGAAATAAGACTTTCATGTCTTTATCTCCTTGGAGAAATTTTCTAAAGGTCTGCTGCAGTAAGTCATTGTGAAAAGTTTAGGGTAAAGCATTTGGGCAGTAGCTCATGCTTAAGGTAAGGTATGCAATCAATTTTGTAGGGCTTAAAAATCAATTATACTGAATTACTAATTGTGATTAAAAGACAAGGCTGACAGAAAACTGTTAATACTTTCAGCTTAAAGAGAAGGTTCTCCTAAGACTGCAAGGAAGTTACCTCCTTACTGTGACAGCTGGGAAGCAACTGCTGCTCTCTGCTGACAGTGGAGCTGAGGCAGCCCTGCAGACAGAGCTTACCGAAATTCAGCAGTGCTGGATGATGGCTAGTACCAAACTGAAGCAACAAAAGAAACAGCTTGCATTGCTACTGAAAGTAAGTGTGTGATTGCTTCTGTACTTCTTCAGCAAGTTCAAGGTTTCTCACTATGAACCCTGTTGAAGAAAAGCATTCTCAGGGGATAAGCACAAATACAGGAATTACATGTATGCTACATGAGCTCACAACTTCATTCCACCACCTCTGAAACTAGCAGTGGTAATGCTTCACAGTAGGCTTGTGTGGTAGTTGGTATCTTTTAATTGATATTTCCAGAACACTACCAATAAAAGATGCTCCTGCCAGTCCTGTTTTTAACACAGAGCAATGTATTTTCTTTTGCACAATGCTGGTTAATTTTTATACTTGCTGTATTGAAAATTAGACTTGCCTTATTTCCTCTACATGCCAGTGTCAAGATCTATCTAGCTATTTAGTAGTCTGTGTTTTCTTCTAGTGTCTTGAGTATTTGCTACTTTAGATAAACCTCTGTTTATCTGCCTTGGGGAAGAAAGCCTTGAATTCAATTTCAGTATAAGTCCAGAATGCCTGCTAACCTAACTTTAAGTACTGAAGATGATAGGCTGGAATTTTGGCTGTTTGGTTTTCCCTTTTACTCATTTTAGGCAGGATAATGAAAATTGGACTTGTATGTATTAATAGTATAGGACAAGGGCTTTTATAATAGTTTCAGAGGTCTAACAGAGATATGGAATTATAAACACTTTAGTTTTGTTTGTAAATAACAAGAAGCAAAGAAAAGCAAGAAAATTCTATTTTTGAAAAGGTCAGGTAAGTATTTTTTTCTTTCTCTTTCAAGCCTTGTTCCTTGTACCTCAGCTTCTACTGGGGGAATTATGTCAGGAAATTTTAGTCATGAAAGCTGTTATCTAAGTACACTAAAAGTTCTGTGGTATTTTGCCTCAGTGAAAATATGGAACTTAATGCTTAAAGATGAGGAAGTAGGGAAATTACCATGCAAATTATATAAATAATCTCATAGATATCAAACCTTAATTACACAATGCTATCTTGGTTTTAAATACATACTTTTTAGTGGTCTTCTGACCAAATGGGAAGCACAAGTGTATGTTCTAGAAGAGTATGTGTTGATTAAGAACATCACAGACTATTGTCATGTAAGGTCATACTAGTCACTAAGGAGAGAAGAAAGAAGACACTGAAGAGAAGGTTTTTTGCGAGACCTGTTGTTTGTAATTCTCTATCCTGAAGATGGTCATGAAATACAGGAATATATTAGAAAAAAAAATGGAAGGAGAGAAATACAAATACAGTTGTAAAAGGATATTATCTTGAAACAAAAAACTAAGAGAAACAAGTTCCTTATTTTCTGGTATCACACAACTGGCATTCTTCATGGGTTGACTGGCTTAATAGAGATCTTTCTATCTGCAAGTACCTTTTTGATAGGCTTTAACAAGCAGTTGAGGCAGGTAAAAACCATGTCACATGACAGTTGGTATAGTTTGATTGCATTGGACACATTTAAAGTTTTGGAAAGTATACAAACACTAAAGCTGGATGTAGCTGCTAGAAGCAAAATTTAGAGGAGACACTGAAGCTACTTCAATATGGCCTGAATTTGCAGTATCCCCGTTGGTTTTTTTTTCTGGAGACTAATGCACCTGAATGGAGCTCTTGTCAAAGAACAGTGGCAGTTTAATACAGGCATTCAAGAAAGGAAGTGGAAAATAATTTTGACAGGGAGAGGCTTTTCTGAAAGGATGGAGTTGGATCTAGACAATGTTGCGATAACAGGAGGCTTTGGCTTGTGTGTGTATTTCTACTAGCAGGGACCTACACAAAAAAATTGACACAGTTGTACACATGACTCAAGTCTGGAGACTATGAGTATTATTTAGAGGGCATTTTATTATTATGAAAAAGTTTTCACTGTTTAGTGGATAGTTAGGCAAATCAACTGACATAAGAACTATGCAGGTCTGAATTGAAGTATAATAAATATTCTGCCTTCAGGACTGGAAAAAATCTGAAAAGAACATAGAAGACTCCCTGGAGAAGCTAAAATCATTCAAAAAAAAGCTTTCTCAGCCTTTGCCAGAACACCATGATGAGTTGCATGCAGAGCAGATTCGTTGCAAGGTAAAGCACTTGTTAACTGCTGTCTCATCTTTTCTTGCCTTTGTCCAGTAACTTCTTCCACTGTTAATGGGTTTCATATTACTGACTGTGAACACAGGGCAGCCATCCCTGTGACAAGAAACTGTCCATGTTTGGACATCATAATACCGGAGTTATCTCACTGTAATGCAAATCGTGCAGGGCAAATGTAGATCTGATCAAAGTGAGATCAGAAAAGGGTCCAAAAAGTACTGTAGAAGTGCTAAATACTGGTGTGTTTTTATCATAGAAATTTTAACTTCAGCTTTAAACTCATGGTATCTAAATTTTTGTTTTAGTGGTTTTTATTTGAGGTAAGATTACTGGGGGGCATCTTAGATAACACTTTCATGCTATATTCTTTGAAGTTTAGAAATGGATTTAAACTTGAAAATATTTTCAATACAGAGAAGTCCAAACCAATACTTACCGTTGAACTTCAGCGATTTGAGTAGTGTATTAGTTTGTGAGTATTTCTTACAAGACTGACGTATCATTCTCTACTGGGGATTTACCTCTCTCATAACTCTGAAAATATTGGTACATATCGGTATTTTTCTTTTAAACAGGGCTGAAACAGTCATCTTAAAATGGTGGGTCTGCTCAGATATGACTTTAATTCAGTAGGATAACAATGTTGTCTTTGTGCTTCTAAAACTTGTTCAGATTTTTATTTGTTAGCAGGCTGATCCTTTTTCCTTGTGTGCTTCTTTTAAGGAGTTAGAGAATGCTGTTGAAGGGTGGACAGATGACCTTGCACACCTCTCTCTGCTGAAGGAAACCCTATCTGTGCATATTAGTGCAGATGACATCTCAATCCTCAGTGAGCGCATAGAGCTTCTGCACAGACAGTGGGAGGAGCTGTGCCACCAGGCAAGTATAGTACTGAACACTGATATGAATATGCAGGCTACAAAATGTTGGGAGAAAAATTGAATGGAAGTGGCAGCTTTTAGAAAAGATGCGTGTAGGCGCACACAGTTTTTAAACTGATCAGGAAATACGTCTGTTGAAATGCTTCCTTTAGTTACTGCCAGTGTTTCTGGTTCTCCTGAACTTTGTAATGGATGTGAGTTCATATTTAAGCAGCCATGAGAAAAACAGCAAAAAAGTCACACTGTGTTGCTGTGGCATGGCTGGCTGGGGAAAACACAGAAGTAATACAGTTTACTGTGCTTTGGTGGAGGAGCTGTGCTCAGAAAGGAGGTCCCCTCCCTGCTCAACATTACTCTATTCAGTTCTGCTGATAACTTCTGCTTTGTCAGACATTACTGTTTACTTTTCTCTTAGTCTAAGGGTGACTTGGTTGGCTGCAAAATTAGCTGAGGAGTATTTGATTTTTGAGGTGCATCATGCTATTAGTGAGTTTCTTGCCTCCATTTTGCACTTAGAAATCCAGGTAATGGAGTCTCCCTCACCCAGCTTTTCCAATTTTCCTGATGCTATTTCTGTGGTTCAGTATAGATTGCAGTCCAGATATACCAGCGCTAACTTTGAAGTAGTTACTTCACATAAGGTACCTGGGAAGGCTTCAAAAACACCCCTAAAGTATGCTTCACAGTTAACAGCACAGAACTTATGAATTAGTTGCATTTGAATGAGCCAATATAGATGCATCTAAACTATGCTGTAGTCACTTTGTGTATGTTTATGGTAAAGGAGGGAGCCAAGTAACGAAAGACACTTTATCTTAGTTTTGTGCGAAGTGAATGTTTCAGGGTGTAAACCTAGTGTAACACTTTGCTCAACTGTTATTTCCGGAAAGTTGCCATCGAGTTTAGAACCGCAAAAAGGAAATGCAAGATCATGTGTGCGCCCCGTTAAACCTAAGATGGTGGTTAAAGAACACATCACATTTGTTTATGAAAAAGCAGATGTAGTCATCCATCTTCTCAGCTAAAATGCTGATATAAAGTCAGAAACAACATAGATTGCAATGGAAGTAAGTAGTTGCACAGTGTCTGAAATTGGAGAGGTTACTTTGCTGCTCACTCTTTGATGCTATTTTGATTTCAGTGTCCATCTTTGTCTGTCTATTACTATTTGTAGTCTGAGATGGTACCACTGCTACAGCAATTTCTTAAGCCTAGCAATGTTTTCCTTCCTCCTCCTTGACTACAGCATTTGCCTGTCTGATATTTTATGCCTGTTCTTTCCTGTCAGGGTATACCTCAGTCCTTTGGCATCTCTCAAGGTGTCATGCCCACTCAGGAGAATTAGTCATCTATGAAATGATTGTATTGAGACTCAAGTAGAAAATTGCTTGTGCAAAATATAGCGTATCTTTGATTTAGCTTTGTACTTACAAATAATACCCATGCACAAATTATACAGTCTTTTGGAGTTTGGCCTGTGCTATGTAGATATCTATTTTTTTGTTTTGTTCAAGCATTTATATCTTCCTTTTTAATTTAGTCTTCTGGGCAAAAAGTAAGCTATTAATATACTATATAAAATCTTATAAGGGATAAGGGATTGACAGGCTACTAAGTGTACCACTTGGATGCCTCTCTCTGTGCACAGGATGTAGCTAACAGGAAACCTGAAATTAGCACTTAACCTCTAAACACACAGTCACAAAGTTTTTGCAGTACAGCTGCAGTATGTTTTAGTGGCAAGGAAGTGACTGGAACACTTTTGCAGAGCCAGAGGAGGTCACATTGAGGCACTAAGTGTTTCAAGCATCTCTTGAATGCATTTACTATATTGTTTTTGTTCACTCTCCGCAAATGTTTTAAGGTTTCCTTACGTCGACAACAAGTTAGTGAGAGACTGAATGAGTGGGCTGTCTTCAGTGAGAAGAACAAGGAGCTCTGTGAGTGGCTGACACAAATGGAAAGTAAGGTTTCTCAAAATGGTGATATCCTCATAGAAGAAATGATTGAGAAGCTTAAAAAGGTATAGTGTAGTTGCATGTACACTTACATACTGTTCTTTAACTGCTTACTTGTTTTGTGTTGCAGGACCTTTCAGCATACCATAAAATTAAGTGAATGCAAAGTTGAAGGCATCTGTATGCTTTACTAAATGTCTGATCAGAATTTCCTGTAATGAGTTTAACTGTAGCAGATATGTTTATAGAAGGCATTGTGTTTATTTGGTTTGTTGGGGTTTTTTTCATTCTTCTGATAAAATTGTTAAAATTAATTAAATGAAAGAAATATATCTAATATTTCAGAGGTTGTGTCTCCACTGTACCAGTCATCAAAACACCAACATTCACTTGTATTTTTTTACATGGTTCCTTTAGTAGTGTAGAGCAGAGTGTATCCTAGATAAGTACCCTGACTTCTGATTGCTCTTTACTGTCCAGGATTATCAAGACGAAATTGCTGTAGCCCAGAAGAGCAAAATTCAGCTCCAGCAAATGGGAGAGCGACTTGCTAAAGCCAGCCATGAGAGTAAGGCATCAGAGATTGAGTACAAACTTGGCAAGATCAATGACAGGTGGCAACATCTTCTCGATCTTATTGCAGCCAGGTAAAACAGTTGTTCTATTTCTAAGTGCTATGTGGGACAGATGAATATGCCGGATGCCATGAATGTAAAATCTTTTTATTGTCTGCCTTTTGGTCATTAACTGTGAAATGAGTGTATTCTTAACCATCAACATATTTCTGTGACATTCATCTTCCTGTTTTACTTTACCTGACATCCTTTCTTCAAGAAGAGTAAATTCAAAATACTGTCTGCTAGAATGACATAGGATCAGTTACAGTCAGATTTAGAGAGCTTTGCTCCAGTACCGTCTTACTTCAGATGAATGTTTAAAACTGGGTGCAAATGTAGTTTTTCTAAAAAGTTCCTGGCAGACGAATCAAAACTATACATCTGTAGTTTTGGATTTCAAGATGACCAATTCCAAAACTAATAGTTTTTCTGCCTGATTTCTTTTTTTGGAGAGGAGTAATTGCAGGTAGACATACACACATTGAACTTAAAGATTCTTTTTACTGAGGGACAGAAATAAAACAGCAATTTTCATAACTTACAGAAATACAGGATTGTTGATTGATATGTGAAGAAACTGGTTTATTTGTTTCAATACTTTCTGTTGAGTCATGTTACAGCCATTACTGACAATTTTTTCACTATTTTGCACATGTTCATATACTTTATAAGTGTATTTTCTACACTTCTGTGACGTAAGGACATATGAATTAGTAATACTTTAGTCTTGTTGGTATCAAAAGGTTTTGTTTAGTTTTGTCATCTTTTTTCATCTGTTCTTTTTTCATATGGTTTTACAGCATTCCTCCTCTGAAATCTCTAAGCATGGGGGCTGTAAAATTTATGTGTGCAGAAGCATTCTAGTGGCTCCAGTTCTTTTTATAGTGGTTCATTTTAAAGTAATGAACACTGTGTGTTTCTAACAGAACAATTAAGTCAGGAAGTGGTGCATTATAGCTGAGGAGCTTGCTGGTTTAAGAGGATGTGATACATCATCAGTTGTTGAACATAAAGTATATTCACCAGATTTTTGTGTTCATATATTGAAACACATGCTGAGACAAGCGTTCAAATAATACCTTCAGGAATTTTCTAGTGAAAAGTGATTGCATTCAGAAACTGCAAAACACATCTTTGAAAGAGCTGTATTGTCTATTCGGTACTAGAGTTTAGTGTCCTCCAAATCTGTGCCTTGACACAGGCAAGGGTTCAGGATTCTGTATCATTCTTGGGGTGAGGAGATATAAACTGCAATATTATACACTTAAACTTTCTCATTCTGTTATCATGAAGCAGGGTGTCAGGTCTTAGTTTTAAACTGATTTATGTAAAATATTTATTTATTTTTATTTCCAGAACATTTTAACTTAGCCTTCTCAACTAGCATTTGCAGCATTATTGTATGCAATTAAATATATAATCCTTTCCAGTGCTTACTGAAGTGAAAAAAACTCTACAAAGTTTGAGCATTGCATTGTTGAAGTTGGGAAGTAAACAATGGAGAGGTTTGGTCTCAGTTGTGGAAATTTTGCTAGTTCAGCTCTAGCTTAGGCTGATAGCAGTTAAAGCTTAAGTTGTTGATTAATGTACGTACAAAGTACTTGTACTGTTGTCTAATTCCT